TATATGCATGTATACCATATATAGAGTATATATACCACTTTTTAGGGATTTGTCGTTGAGTTTTCTTGACTCGTTAGCTTGAATTTTGTTGTGACGATGTTACCTCGTTCTGATGTTGTCCGTCAAATGAATCGAAGGAGATTGCCTCGGAAACAGCGTCAGCATGAATCTTCCAGTAAAGCCAATCGACAGCTGGTCAAGCGGAATCCGTCACTGGTCGTCTTCTGGTGGAACCGACATTCGAATCTCTTCACGCAACACTTTCACTCGAACTCCGTCGCTGGTCGTCTTCTGGTGGAACCGACCTTCGAATCTCTTCACCCAACACTTCCACTCGAAATGGAAGGCCGTCGTCTTCTGGTGGCACTGACCATTGAATCCCTTCACCCAACACTTTCACTCGAAATTGAAGTAAGCTACCGTCGTCTTCTGGTGGAACCGACCTTCGAATCTCTTCACCCAACACTTTCACTCGAAGTGGAAGTAAGCTCAAGTCGTCTTCTGGTGGAACCGACCGTCGAATCGCTTCACTCAACACTTTCACTCGAAATGGAAGTCAGCTCAATGTCTTCTGATGGAACCGACCTTCGAATCTCTTCACCCAACATTTCTACTCGAAATGGAAGTAATCCCAACATTCTTCTGGTGGAACCGACCTTCGAATCTCTTCACCCAACACTTTCACTCGGAATGGAAGTAAGCTCAACAATTATAGCGTCAGCATGAATCTTCCAGTAAAGCCAATCGACAGCTGGTCAAGAGGAATCCGCCGTCGTCTTCTGGAAACTTCGAATCTCTTCACCCAAACTTTCACTCTAAATGGAAGTAAGCTCATCAATTATGAAACAAGAGATTCCTCGAAACCCAACTTTTCTCCCTTCGAATCTCTTCACCCAACACTTCCACTCAAAATGAAAGTAAGCTCAACAATTATGAAACAAGCGATTTCTCGGAAATAGCGTCACCGTGAATGTTCCAGTAAAGCCAATCGACAGCTGGTCAAGAGGAATTCGCCGTCGTCTTCTGGTGGAACCGACAAATCTTCCAGTAAAGCCAATCGACAGCTGGTCAAGAGGAATTCGCCGTCGTCTTCTGGTGGAACCGACCTCCGAATCTCTTCACCCAACACTTCCACTCGAAATGGAAGTAATCCCAACAATGTTGATCTTTTGTCTCTCCAATGCCAGTAAAGCCAATCGACAGCTGGTCAAGAGGAATTCGCCGTCGTCTTCTGGTGGAACCGACCTTCGAATCCTCGCGTCAGCATGAATCTTCCAGTAAAACCAATCGACAGCTGGTCAAGAGGAATCCGCCGTCGTCTTCTGGTGGAACCGACCTTCGAATCTCCGTTAATGGTCGAGAATATTTTCCATTTTCGCTGCATATTTTCTTCCTGTCCATCTCCAGACCCAAAAGCACACCATCTTGGGTCACCGACCTAAGGGTATTGGTATAAGCATATCTAGCTAAACTATAAACGGCTTTAAAATACCGACTTTCGTTTTATGATTAGGGTTGGAGAGTGAGGTAAGGATAAAGCCAGCTTGTGTTGACCTCCTAAATGTACATCCGGCCAACTTGTCTCTTGGTCTGATAA